GTTGATACTGCCCCGCCCCCCACACTTACATGAATGAGCAGGTGGATGCGACCGTGTCTCGACACACATCGTTGCCCTGTCTGATCAAGGACTCTAAGCAGGATGGATTGTCGTCTATGTAACATGATGCGGCCGCGTCTGCACCTTCCTCGCTGCATGTACCTAGGATCAGCACCCTGAATACGTGTAGATATCATGTGCATCCCTTGGGTTAGGTAGGTATAGGGGTGGGTAGGCATGCATGCAAGACGGCTGAATAATGCTCTCATCGCCGCCAGCTACCAACCTTGCCTACATATTCATACATGGCTCGAGGGGGCACCGTCCAGACAAAGCGGGTAAAATAGGAGAGATCTCGTCACAACCCTAGCGAAGCCCCTCCTCCGTCTGATCTGGGCTGGATGTGATGGGATTAAGCGTGCTGCAGGCACGCTTTCGTCACCACCGCCAACATGCAGCTGCCCCATCGTCGGGTCGATGCCAAGGTACAGTCGGGTGTTGTTGGTTGTCGATGGTGAGGAAGGGAGTCTGGCTGCCGGTCTCTCTGAGCTACGTACCCAGTAAGGAGCTGCGGGTAGATCACCCGAACCGTGTGTAGTCTCAGTATGCCCGCTAGGCAATTACTACTAGTGAATAGTAGGCAGCCGGTATAAGGGAAGCATGGCGCCGTTGGATGCAAGATGTTGCATGCATAGATGATGCCCTCCAGGAGAGCTTCCATCAGTTGGGGCCAGGTCTCCGTCGTCACCGGGAGCCATTGTTTGAGCAGGCAGGTCACCGTCGTCTGTGCCCGCCCGCCCGCTCACCCATGCAAGCTACTCCTGCAGGTCTAGGCATTTTCGTGAGCGATCCGAGCCTAGGCACAAGCTTGTCTCACGCATCAAAGTGCAGTCCCGCCACGAGCGCTATCGCCGTACCCCAAGTGCCGCTGGCAGGCCAGGGAGGTGGCAAGCGTCTTCTGCCAAATCCTGAAGAACAGGCTTCAGGGTGCGGGAGGTGAACTTGGGCGTTCCTTGTCGCGCGGCTTCTGCGACGATCCCGACAGGTCCATGGCGGCGGCCACGCAATCAATTGACTGACGAACCATCCCATCATGATTCCGTCGCGTTTCTAGGGCTGATGGCTGAGAAAATTGCCTGTGCTTCACATCCTGGGTGTCCCACAGGGATTCGAGCATGTCAAGACAACACACCCCACCCCTAAACCTCTGACCCACCGGCCTTGAATCCCAAGGCACATTTGGACACCAGACTGTTTTTAGCGAACGTCGTTTTGGAGAATTCGGCCTGTCCATGGCGGTACAGGGAGTGCGCAGGGTATTTCCGCGCCGATTGCCATTTCTGCGTGTGCCAAATGGAGGGACGTAGCTCCCGCGTTGCTTTTTTTGCCCTCCACAAAGATACTCCAATGGAAGGATCAAGGTTTAATGACCTTGTTTTGCTTTCGACTTCTTATAAGAATCATGGCACCTCCAATGGCCTCGAGCATCATGCTCACCACTCTTCCTACATCTTCTTCCTCGGCCTGCCGGTTCCTATATTGCAGCAGTCTTGAATAAGTTCCTTTCTGTTACCAACTCTCTTTGAAGACAGCCAGCCACGATCGACCTAATTTCCTACCTTTGACCACATTTACACCGGCACAATGAGTGGCAGCGGCGGTTTCTACAAGTACCGGTGCAAGTACTTTTATTCCCACAACTGCACCAATTGGGTTTGGGTAAACAATGCGCCATGCGCTTCGTGTCTCGTGAGTCCGCATTTGCCAGCTCGAGCAAGAAAGCAAGTACTGACTCTCCAACAGGCCGAAGGAAGGGACGAGGAACACAAGCAGTCATCATCATGGCCACTCTGCAGAGATATTGCGGCACCCCGTGTCCGTGATGGAATCTTACAGTATATGCTGATGGAGCTGGTGGCCCCGACAGAACCAGGCCACGACTGGACCTTGCAGGACAAGGCTAAACCAGCACCTCCGGCGGTGCCCGTGACCAGTTCTGTCTCAGAGCCTGTTGGGAGGGCGGCAGGCAGGTTCGAAATCTCAAAGACGGCTATAGACTCTTTTTGAGAGGGGATAAGGGCTGTCAAGACCGGCAATTTCATCATGTTTCTCATTCTGACCCAATCACCACCCACCCCAAGGGACACAAGCAAGGGCCCTGGCGGTTCGGCTCCCTATGTTAGTTATACCTCGCAAGAATCTAGGCGTTAGAAAAGGAAAAGTTAAAGGGCTGTGCTTTCGAAATTGCGTTAGGTGTTAGCAATGCTCAAAATCAATTGGTACATACACTGCTGTTCTCTCCGTTCAACCTTGATTGCTTCTCATCCCTCAAGTGCCTTTCTTACTGACTCCTTTCTCCGTTGGGTTCCGAGCTAGTTGTCGCTTCCGAAACCCGAGGATGGCTCGACAGCCGCTGCCAGCAAGGATGTATAATAACGGCACGAATGAAAAGAGTAAGGCACAAAACAATATTGTGTGTTAGAAGACTGGCGGCGGATCGTTCCGCGGCACGGGAGAACATTCGCCAGAAGGTTTGAGAGGATGGCTGATTGTGTGGCCCCGGGTTCCAAGTTGCCCATCCGCGTTGGAAATTCCGGGGTCCCTGCAAGATCCACTTGCACGAAACTCAGCAAATAGGCAGTATCATACCCTTGCCTGTCCAGAAATGGCGTGGAGTGGATCATCGTCCTGCCCGAATCACCTACTGCGTGCCTGACACCCCTCTGTGGAGTTACTGTAGACTACCGGCACCCGAACGTTGAGGATCACTCCACGCCCGAACGTTTTGGCATTATGGAGTCGTCCAAGTGAAAGAACGCAAGCGACCGGCGGCAAATCAAGCCCGTTTGCGCGCGCTTTGGAGCCAAGGCTATGCTAGCCCACAAAGTCAACAGAAGGTACTCGTAGCAGCCAATCATGCCCCAATCGCAGCACTCGATGGTGGGGAGGCAAGGCAGCCAAAGGCCCGGGGCACTGGTTGCCCTCGCTAGAGGTGAGATGTCACCACTCACTGCAGTGGAAATTGTTTCCATGCTAAGACGAAACACAACTGCTTGTCCGACGGCGATAGACTGGAAGGTGGGTAGGGGAAAATGGATGAAAACAGAGCGAATGGAATGTAGGTACCCGTGAACCCCTGCCCAAAGCCACGTTTTGTGGTAGCATGTCATCTAATTCTGACCTCATCAGGGACCGGACCAGAACTTGGGTTGCTCGGCTTGGTACCATCGTGTCGCAGAACTTTTGACAGGCCTGGCGCAATCGGCAAACGGACATGATTGACATTGACGGCGTACGGCCAACCCATGGGCCATGGCTTGGAGGGATAAATTTTCGGGGCTACACAAAGCCCATTATTAATTGCATGCATCCATCAACGATGGTCCCAGCAGATGGACCATCCATGCCTGTCAGCAAATGTCCGCCCGGATGTAATATGCAGGTGCGTGCATGCTTGCCAGCTCGCTCCTCCCCAGCATGGATAATTCCGATTAGGTTGGCAGGCGCTCCTTCTCGCTTTGGACAGACGAGAGCCAACATGAGGTAGGAGGTACCCAGCATGGGCTTTGCCTCGGCTTGGCCAGGCCGGTGACACTCTGCCTCGCCGAAGCTGTCATGCCCAACGCCTCGTTCGTCGCGTATCGCCAGCCCAATGATCCGGCTGTGGCATGTCACTCCTTCATCTTTCCCCAGGCCAAGCCGTTCCTCCATTGCGACGCGCCAACAGCTCCGGGCAGCCACACAACCATCCTCCCTAGCCAGGCACCACAGTACCTGCTAACTTAGGTAGCTGTTACAGAACTGTGGCAGTGTTGCCGGCCGATTACGTAGTGCGGATGGTGTAAGTCAATGCTGCCGCCATGACGCCCTCAGGCCCCTACATACGTCTCCTTTGACTCAATCCCCTGTCAACCGACGCTTCTGTTTAGCTTCCACAGCTCCCTTGGCCCGGCTGCGGGCACAGGCAGCTATGCGAAAGTGCTGGCATCGCTGCGACCTTGCTAACGGCATGATCCCGACAGCTTGGCCCCACCTCCCCACCCTCGACAGTCTACAATCCAGGCAAGTGGTGTCGTGTACATACTCAGCCCGGCGGCCTCGGGCTGCCGCAAAGCTCTTCTGGAAGAATGCACACATTCATATATACCTCCATGCATACAATCTGAACTTATGCACAAAGCCTTAGAACCAATCGCTTCGCTAGTGTTGTACGAGAGCCGGTAGCCGCACTTGGCACTCGACAACGGTAAGGTTCTGCGTAAGCACCACCCACGTCCCTGTATGTCGAGGGCGCATTGTACATAATCTTCAACCAATGTGCATTCATTTGACGCACTGCCCACGCGCATATCCTGTCTCGTGTTGGCCGAATTTGTGCAGGGAAATAGACGAGAACCGGAGACCTTCCGAGGGTCATGCTGGCGAGATTTTACTTGTCAGGATGCACTGAGGCCTCGCATAGCGGAGCTATGGCACCAACGTCTCGGCCATACATCAATAAAACACCGAGAAAACATACGAAGACAACAAACATCCTATTAAACGACATTGCGCCATGGACGGATAGCCTTGGTACCTGTCAGAGGCCAACATGCCTTAGTTCCCGTGTCTCCGCGCACCATTCCATATGGATCTGTCCGGAAAGATGCCCTCCTTCGCAACAACGAGCGCCCGCTACGAGTGACATAAAGACCATCTTTTCATGCAATTTCTACCAGTGCTGCAACTACTATCTGTTCTCTCAGACAAGAAGGCAAGCTAGGTCTGGTTGACTTCTAGAAGGATTCGCCCAAACCCGCGGTCCCGGTACCGGGCAGCAAGATGCGCAGCCCCAGGCCACACAATCCTTGCCACAGCCTGGAAGCCAATCCACGTTTTCAACTGGGATATCCCTCCCCCGAGAATGCCCGGAACACTTCTCATACTAGTAGTATACTTTTCCACTATAGGACGGGCGATCCGACCGATTCTCAAACTACCTAACGTAGCATATTTCCACGATGAACCATGAGGGGGGAAACACCCCGGGGTCGGAATATCGAGCTATCGAGTTAGGTAGGTCCTCCCACCCCTGAACTGACAGGAAACCAAGACTAATTTAGTATACAACTCTCGAAATAGGATCATGGCAGACGGCACGTCAATATCTACGGGGTTGAGATAATTCTGTCCCCTCTTTTCCTATTATTTGGGAAGGTACGAAACTCACACATCACAGATGCTATTGGCCATGCATTCGAGAATAATTCTGAGGCGAAAGCTGGGTCCTACATTACCACCACTCACCTTGCAACTATCATAACGGGTACCCCTAAGGCCGAAGCCAAGTATCAAGCTCGGCCATAACCCGAGTAGATAATGCTGGGTTTAGGTTTGTGGAAATCTTCTGGTTCTTAGGTACGCAAACGTTTGGCTTTGCCATCTAGAGAACGTATAGCCATATTTCATATCCTGTGGCGCTGATACTGGGGAATTGGGCGATGACCCACTGTACAGAAGGTACTACCGCGTTCTCTTCCAGTATTGTCGTTAGTTTCGAAGACTTCGAGATTGTGTGTAGTAGCAGACCCCAGTACCCCCAGCGGATCTTGACATGTCGTTCCACCAAGCCGGGAACGGGCACCAAAAGCGGCCCGGGATACTTTGACACCTGCTCTCAAATTAGCATTCAAAATCAAATATTTAGGGAAAGGTGATGACTTATCCCCTGTCCGTCTGGGGGGCCGCCCTCCTACCATTTCTGGCACGAGGGCAACCGAGACTGCCTCTTCCACTGCGGCCTGTCCCATACATTCCAATATTGCGCCGTTTCATAATCAGGTAGGGATCTACAGACTGGTTTCGCAGCGAATCAACCACATGGCGGACAAGTACGAAACTTTGACGCTATCTTGCGATAGGTCCCGACCTTGCTTGAGATATCGACTGTGTTCCAGAGCTGCAAATCTGTATGGAATTACGAAATGGATTCCGCAAATGCGAAGCAGCATCATCGCACATAGTAAGCCTTTCCAGAGAAAAATCACCTCAATTGTCTCCGGTATCATCAGCCTCTTTTTGTTTGTATAGCGTTGCCAACGAGGACTTGTTTTTGATTCCTCTCCAATCGGTTTAGGAGGGCGGTTACGCTCGGTCAAAATACATCCACAAAAACCGTGCTATCATCTGCAAGGGAAGCTCCTTTCGGAACACCTTCAGGAATGTTGCTTGAGGCCAGTATAGACCTCAAGCTTGGGACTGGCGAACCTCTTCCCGGGGGACGAAACCCACGGGTTCGGATTAATGCGTTTGGTCAGGCTAGGCGAATAATCGCCACGTGCTGGCCGCTGCTGCTGCTGCACGGTCAAGGGCGCCTGTGGCAAGTTGGAGATACCCATAGGGGACGAAGGTCATCCATAAGGCCAGGAAAAGGAGTACCGAGGACTTCACAGGTAGTTCATTTTTTGTCAGCCACGACATTTCTGTGTGATTTCTAGAGACTCTCACAACACCAAGAACCATGGTGCGGCCGGCGAGACAACATCCCAGAAGCGTTGTGGAAATGTCGTGGCTGGCTGTGTGTTGCCTTTCCTGTGTCCAAAATCCTCATTCCGGCATGATCAATATGTGATCAGGTTTGACCCTTGTCATGGGCAGTTTTCTCGAGAAGAAGCCAACAGCGTTCCTTGATAGCCTATTTGCGACCATTGTGCTGGTCCCAGGGGGAGAGCTGACGAGCGTCCTCAGGCCAGAGGCTCTTACCAAATGACTCATGGCATCCTCCCTCTCGCGCACCGTAAAGGTGACTGGGCTGTTCTCCCCCATCGGTCCGCCATGTCCAGCATCAGGTTCAGTTATCCAACTTTTCAGCGGGTATAACTTCCACTGATAGCCAGTGTGACTTAAAAGATGGTTTCGAACGACAGAACGCAAAACTTTGAACCAGAAGTATACTTAGGGTTAAGTTCCGAAACTCATTCCACCTCTTCGGGTTGGGCCGTCTGAAACCGACAGCCTGAGTTTCACGATAGATCCCATTGCGGCAAACAGCGAGGTCCTGTTACAGGCTCGAGAGCGGCATATCGCGAACATCCAACCTTGGAGGGGGCCCAATATGGGCATTCCTTGCGGAAAATGAGAGTCGGAGAACTGTAGAGGAGGCGACACGCGTAGAGAATGTCATTGACAAAAGAGCGATTTCAATTTCCAGAGACTGAGGTGATTTCAAGCTGGTTTTGCAGAAAAATGTGCACATAAAATGATTGATGCATGTAAATATAGAGAAAGACTTTGCATTGCGGGAGCTGTTGAAGATGGGGAGGAAGGAGCTCTCGCTTAGACGCGTCGGGTGGGGATTATGTTGACGCGCCAGCACGTGATTCACTGGCCGTCGAGGTACGTACCGATCCACTGCTACCGACGTTGTAAGTGGGCGCTAGAACATCGATACCCAAGTAACTTCGCATCCATGATTTTATTAGTAATTATTCACAACTGTCTCGCAAGACTTCCTGGCCAGTTTTCAAATACAGGCTTTTATCGAGAGGGAGTTTTCCATATTATGAGGTCGTGCTGTGATTTCTCATTCAGCAGTAACCTCTAAATCTAATAGACTGCAATCACCCGTCATGGCCGAAGCTGCTACATCCCAGCAATCGAGGTCTAAGCTCCTCGAGAACATTGTAGAAGCAGGCAAGAAGGCTTTCAATCCATCTAATGATAATCCTACTCGAGAGAATGGGCGCATAGAATACGATTCTATCGTGAACAAGTAAGTCGCTGCGATTTCGCCATCTTGAAGGTGACCTAACTCCCATAGAACAGAAACATGGGCCCTTCTACCAGCTCTCAACGCTTTGATCAAGCCCAATGTGCTCCCCGAGTGGCTTCGTGGCCCTTTCGTGGATACTCTCACCCTTCTCCCTCTGAGGGAGGGTGGTGTTCGCGCAACCATGGAATTCGTGTTTTCCGTCCATCCTAGTAACACTAGCCGAGCACCAGCTACAAACCAACCCCAGAAGGAGGGTGCGAGCATAACCCATGAGGCTCTGGCCATAGCCACGAAGCTTCTTTCTTCCGTCCCTGCTTCCATGACACCCGAGTCTTGGTTCGGAGGTATATCTGCTCAATTATTCCACCTAATGGATGGGAAAGATGGCCCAGACCTGAGCAAAGCTGCTGCTCAAATTGTTGGGTTCGGGATTTTGGGGAAGAAGATGTACGGGGCTCCAGGTTAGGGAACATCTTCATGGGTAAAACCTCAGTCCAACAACTAACCTATCTCGACAGGCTCTCCAGGCTGGCAGGTATTTGTCCAGCCCTTGATAGAAAGCATAAACCCATCCACAAGACTTGGCCTGACAACGAGAATGGTCGGAGTTGAAGAGGACGACGAGGTCGTCGACCTCACCAAGGGCCAGGTTTTAGTAAAAAGTGAGGTACTAGGGCGATCAGTCCGGCTTCTTAGCGTTCTAGTCTTCTCAAACCCGTCCCCTGGCCTTTGCAGCAGAGTGCTGAAGCCGGTGCTCCCCCAGCTGTGGGCTTTGGCCTCATTACCCATGGACGAGGGGGCAGCTCGTGGTATTTCGAAAGCGGCTCGAAACTTACTACAGGCATACCTTAAATTATCAGGCAACATCGAGACCGCCTCGATACTCATCAGGAATCTACTTTGCGAAGGTTCCCTCCCTGCATCCGAACAGCCATGGCAATACCGCAAGACTAACCAAGGATTCGAAATCGTCTCTCAAAGTTTTGGCGTAGACATGTCAACAAGCGAGATTCAATGGGCTGAGCTACAGTCCCGGGCAGAAATCCTCGCCGACCTCCTCATGGACAGCTGCTCTCCCGAAAACGTCTCGTCTATATTTATCGAGCTCTTCCAGCGATGGATCAAGACTGCAGGGACACCAGATACCATCATCTCTTCACCAGACAATCAAGATGACGGGCCGCAGGCGGCAATGGAGACCCTATTCGACGTTACAGTGTTGCAGAAACTACTTGAAAAGAACCCTGAGAAGCTTATCAACCAGTTTGACAGGTTGCTTGAGGTGATTTGCCAAGTTCTGAGGGTTGATGATACGTCCCGACTTGCGGATGATCTCGTAGGCGTCACCTTGAGTTTACTCAATCTCGTCATCACAGCGCCGACCTTTAGTAAATCAGACATTAATCAAACAGAGCTCAATGTGATCGAGCGGTCTCTGGAAAGGCTGGGTGGTGAGTCTCGCCCCCAGATATCGCAGACGGCGTCAAATCTCTCTCTGCTTCTGAGATACAAGGATGAGCTCAATCAACAGGAGGAGCCGACATCTCACCCCTCGAAACGCCAAGTGGAAGACCGGAGAACATACGACCTGGCCATGAATTACATCACTGGAGTTGACAGCCCCCCACCAGTCATATCAGAAGGGTTGAATCTCTTGTCGGGGCTCATCCAGGGCGGGAGTTCGATCTTGGATATCACTGCCGTGAATGTCCTGCTGTCGAATCTGCTCGAAAACGGCGAGGACTACGTCAATCTACGTGTAGTAAAGCTCTTCACGCAGATGGCCAACAAGCACCCGCGATCAACCGTCAAAGAACTACTGGACCACTTCCTGGACCCCCAAGAAAAGCTCAGCACGGATATTAGACTACGGTTCGGCGAGGCCTTGGTACAAGTCATTGAGCGGCTAGGCGAGACGTTTGCCGGCGAGGTAGCCCTGCAGGTGACCGAGACGTTACTTTCCATTGCCGGCCGTCGCGGATACCGCCCCAAGGCAATGCGGAAGCAGACACGGGAGGAGAGGAAGCAGAAGATCAAGAAGGAGGAGGAGGACGGGGTTGACGAGCAGGACGAGGAGGAGGAACGCACAGCGGATGAAAGGGCAAGAGATGATGTCCTCGCGCAGATCTTGCAGGGCTGGGAGAGCAAGAGGGGTTCCGAGGACATCAGGATGCGTGCCTCTGCGTTGTCGATTCTGGGGACGGCGTTGGAAACGAACATCAGAGGGGTCGGGTCGTTTCTCGTATCAACGACAGTTGACCTGTGCGTCAGCGTGCTTGCCCTGGAACCGGAAATGGAGAAGGCTATTCTTCGAAGGGCCGCCATCATGGTTGTTCTAGGGTTCATCCGAGCATTGGAGTCTGCCCGAGAATCCGGCGTTACCCTCGGGTTTGGGCTTCAGGAGGAGAGTCGGTCTGACATCTCGCGAACTCTGCAGTATGTCGCAGGTACTGATAACGATGGGCTGGTGCAACAGCACGCACGGGATGTGATTGAGAGCCTGGAGAACTGGCACATGGCAAGCCTAGTGCCTTCTCAGGTTGACTATGAAACATCGAGGGTTGGGCAGCTGGAGGGTCTCAGAGTGAATGCTGATACGGCTGGGCTAGGCACACCATCTGGCAGGCCACGGCCGCGTATCGAGGAGATTGAGTAATCAATGAATAAGAAGTATATTGCGCAAATGTCATTATTCGTCTCATGTGTAGTAGAAGTGAAATTGAAAGCGGGCACCAGAGGATCATGCAGCGCAGCACATTAACGCTGATGGCCTCTTGCATCGGCGGAAGCTTCTGCTAAGTCTACTGCTAAGCCGTGTCAGGTACAGAAGAGTGTTCTAATTAGTTGCCTCAAGTCTCGAAACAAGTCTAGCCACCCGTGTAATTAGAGTATGTGGAATCAGAAATGGCGCAAACTGGGGCCAGATGGTGGCTGAGAAATACAAGGGCAAAACGACGGTGTCGGAGGGGCTGTTACACTAAAACACATCTTTAATCCCGAAGCTAAGGCGCCTCTTTTTTCTTTCTTTTTCTCGTCGTCAATCTTCAACGGTAATTAGTTCTTTAATGAGGAGAGGGTTTGATATAATTACGTGGCAAGGTCTCGGTCCTGTCATCTTGGCGAAAGCGCCGAGGCCTTGTTTGTCATAAAAGAAAAGCGGGGCAAATAAGAAGAGGAAGATGAAAAAATCTCGCTCAGTTGATGTCTTTCAGCTTGGAATCTGCTCAGGTCATCATAGGCCCCAACACGACAGCACGCAGACGCATCACCGTGCCCAATGCTCTTGCAGTAGCGGCGCTTCATGGACCAGGGTGCTCGGTAAGCTCCTGGCGGATTCCTAGGGCATGACAGCGCTAGTCAGGTAGCTAGTAATTAAGGGGCAGATCCAGCTGGATTATCGCCATTCCTTGGGAGTGAGAATTAGGGTTTCTGTCTCCTCGCCATCCGAGCAGGCGGACAGGACCATGAAGCCGGTGGATCCGCACAATTCGTATCGCATCGCTGGGCGTGACACGTATACGATCCGTAGATCAATCGGCGTTGGACTGTTGGAGCGGTGGGCGACTATACGATGTGCTGAAGCCTGCCAAGCACGTGGAATACGACCCAGAGATGGCAGTCCTGAAGCTGCAACACACTCTGAGAGTCTGCTCAAACAGGAGATGTTATAACAGTTGACCGACCCTCGATCTAGCAATGTAGTGCTACGTCCTGCGTATTCACTCATTCATGCAACTTCGCTGCCGCCCACAGAACAGGGAAGAAGCCCTCGGTCTCCAACCATCAGGTAATTAATCATGGAATCTGGCTGTGACGGTCTGACCTACGTACCTCAGGCGGCGGGCTGACGGGGGCTGAGTCTCTTACCTACCCATCACATAATGTAACCAGTAATTATGATTACCTGGCATCGGGGGCTTCCCCCGCTGACAATGCCCGAAGGACCCGCGTGCAGCGGCGATGAGTATAACGACCTGAGGAAGAGATGGCGTTGTTGGACGCCGAAATGAAGGACAATAAATTTTGTTGGTGTAGCCCCAACTTAACTGAGGTCGAGTCGTACAATGTAGGTAGGTCGCGATCCTGCTCCAGGCGGGACATGGCGTGAGCTAGAGCGATGGATGCTGGATCATTCGATGATTCGAATACCGCTCGACGTCGACCTTGGGCTCGAGCAAGAATGAGGAGGGGAGGGGCCCTGGGCGCGCTAGAGGGGACCGTTGTTGGAGATGATCTGGTTGAAACACGCACATAAAATAAACGGGAAGGACTGATCAGCCATCGACTAGGATGGTAGCTCCAATTAGCAGATACCTCACGACGGGTGCAGATACCTTCCAGAAGTGCACCGGACAGCAGCCACAGCTAGTACCCAAGCAGATAGGCTCAGGTACCACGGGCTTGGCCTCAGGGGGGAGGGGCATTGAGGTGGTGCCTGCCCAGAAATTAGGGCGCTGTCATTGGCCCGCGCCCTGGTGGCTCTGTCTCAGGTCAACTCCGTACCTGCAGACGAACCCTCCCTGCTCCTCAACGTGCCTTCAACTTTCCCCTTCCTGGGATCCCTGTCCTGCTATAGACCGCCAGCAGAACTGCGAATGCAACCGAGTCTCAGCGCAGTGGCGAATCCTATCCTGTGCCTGCTCTGACTAACACCAAGCTGGCTCCATGGATGGCTGGGCTGCCTCCTCCTCGACGCTGCGCTGGGTGCCATCACTCACACCCTCCAGAATGCACGCCGGGCGCCAAAGGCCTACCATCTCGTGGATAAATGTCCCGCCAGGAACACGGGACATGGCGTTGCACAACATAATAATATTATAGGATCGGATGAGAATAGGCCGCCTGCCATTCCCAGCAAGCGAAATTGAGCCCATTATGGCACTGAGGATGGCGAAACAGCTGGGAACCTGGCCCCTGTAACCGCTGTCCCCGTTCGGCCAAACAGATCACACACACCTTTCCTGTCCTCTCCCCATCTCATAGAACCGGACCCATTAGTCTGAAGCATGGAGGCAGGGAATATGGCTGTTTCGCCCGAAAAGTCGCACCTGGGAAAGGAACATGGGACTGCATGCCGAGCCTCCTTTCTGGCAACTACTATTATTACTCCCATCCCCCCTCCTCTTTCGTTTCTTCTCTCTTTTTCTCTCCACCGTTGACCCTCAGTTCACTCTCCAGGTCTCTCGCTCTCTTGCAACGTCTTCGCGACTTGCTTGCCATTCCTTCATTTGGTTTCTATTCTCGCCTGGCTGTGCCACCCATCCCAAGAAACGTACTTTCGCTTCAAGCTCCGGCTTCAAAACTCGCCAACAAAGTAAAAACTTGATTTCACTCGCTCGAGATCAAACCTGCATTTGTCCAAGGACTAGCGTATTCGAATTCCGCTCAGCTCGCAATCAAAACGTCTCCTGGAGAGAACTATTCGAGATTCTAACTCGATCACCATCACCACCCACAACTCCGTCTCTTTCCCAAAGAAACAGTCAAAATGAAGGCTTCCGTTGCTGCTGTTGGCGTCTTCGCCGCCGTTGCCAGTGCCCACTCTCCCCGTCACTTCCACTGGAACCGCCGTGCTCTCAACGAAACAGCCTCCGAGACCACTCTGACCGTCAGCGTCACCCAGGTCTCGACCATCATCAGCTGTGCTCCCACTGTTACCAACTGCCCCGCCAAGCAGACTGATATCGCCAACCTTCCCGAGTCCGCCAAGACCACTGCTGTTGTCACCCAGACTGTTCCCCTGTACACCACAGTCTGCCCTGTCTCTGATGCCTCCAGCATTGCCTCGTCTCTGATCAACGAGCACATCTCCAGCAATGCCCCGGTCCTCCCCAGCAGCACTTTCCCCTGGTCCAACTCTTCCGCTCCCGCCCCCACTGGCGCTCCCATCACCTCTGGTTCTCCCAACCAGCCCAGCTTGACCACTTCGCTCATCCCCATTGTCACCGATGTTCCTACTACCATCATCGAGAGCGGCCTCACCAGGACCACCACTGTCCAGTCCACCTTCTACTCCACCGTCACTGTCCCTTGCTCCAGCGCCTCCGGCATCACCTCTGCTCCTGGCACCGGTAACGGCAATGGCAACGGCGATAATGACATCACCTCCACCAGCACCTCTACCACTACTGGCACCACCACTCTGACCGTCTCTGCCCCTGGTGGCACTGAGAGCAACAACAGCCCTAGCAACGGTGGTAACAACAGCGGCAATGGTGGTAACAACGGTGGTAACGGCAACAACAGCGGCAGCGGCGACTGCGTTGCCTCTACTGTCACCGTCACTGCCCCTGCTTCTACCGTCTATGTCACCATTGGCGGCGACAAGACCTCTACTGGTGCTGGTGCTGGCCAGACCTCCACCGGTGCCGGCTCCGTTCCTACTGGAACCCAGGCTTCTTCTGCTCCTACTGCTTCCCCTACTGGTGGAAACAGCAACAACGGAGGAAACAACGGTGGTAACGGCGGCAACAACGGTAGCGATGATGATGAGTGTGATGACGACGACACTCAGGATGACGATGAGTGCGACGACGACGAGGGTGATGACGATGAGTGCCCCCCTGAGAGCACCACCACCCTCTCTGCCACTGTCACCGTCCCCTTCCCCACTGGCAACGGCACTCAGCCCACCCCCACCGGTATCTTCCCTACTGGCGGCTTTGCCAAGCTCCGTCGCTAAGCAATTAAGCTACCTTCCTATGGAAAGGATAGGATGTTCCGCATGACGGGGCATGTGGTCCTGACAGCGGACGTCACTCGATGGGCGGGTGGTCCCCCATCGGCTGCTTGATTCAATGTGACCATGGCTCATGAACACCCGAAAATCCACCCCAACATTTATGGCGCCTTGTTCTTGAGTTTTTGCAGATAAACCATTGGATAGGTTTAGGAGATTTCTTTGTCATTCCGTCCATTTTTCCTTTCTGGCTAGCACAGGGTTCACACTCGGCTGTGGATATGTGTCTTTACTTCTTAGCGTGTACAAAGTTGTCATATAAAATGGAAAGGGTAGAAGATTCTAGATTCCTTGTTAATTACCTGTGTCGTGACCTGCTCCATGAAGATCGTAAATTCATAATGTTTCTCTGTTCCTTTCCCTGTGTGCTCCCGTTGTTAGAAGAACGTACCTAGCCTTGGCCCATGGTGGTATAGACTACCCCATCTCTGGTATTCTTCTGTAATTCGTTGATCTTAAACTACTAGGTCTTGATACGTCGTAACTCAATATGTTGATAATCCTAGCCAAACAGCACTTTCTCATACTGTGCCTGCGTGAGATGTTGATACAATACTCCTCTCACCGCAGCTTTACTTAGACTCAGCTGAGGGAGTAGGCCCTCGGTCTGCTGCAAGTTTGCCTTGATGCTCTCTACGTGGCCCCCAAGCTGAAGCGCCAATTCTTTGATCTCCTCTTCGTCCTGCAAATCCTGAAGGGCTCGTTAGATTCCACACGTCTTTGCTTGCAGCTTCATGGAACAGTGGCAACTTACCTTGAACAACGCACCAGGGGGGATGGGCCCCTCGTCGTCAAAGGCCAACTCCACATCGTCGCCCGCACGGGATGTGGTCGCGTGGGGGGTCAGAGCGTGCGCTCTCTTGAGCTGTTCCCGCTGCTGCCTCGACTGGCCCCTCGCGCCGGCCTCGAGGTTCTGGAGCGTCTTGTAGTCGCGCTCGAGCTCCCGCTCCAGGCGCTCCTTCTCTTTCCTCAGCAGCCCGACGGCGTGGAGGGCCGGGTCGAGCTGCCTCTCCAGGGACTGCGAGGCGTCCAGGACCCGCTCGAAATCCAGCTCGAGCTCGCGGCCCCCGTCGCCGCCTCGGCGTCGGCGGGCCACCAGCGAGCCTGCGCTGGCGGCGGCGGGGGGGAACGGGAGGCCCTTGTGGAGCTTGCGCGTGATCCGCCTGTAGAGGACGGCGAGGGCCGAGGAGGTGTGCTGGCGACGCTGCTCGGAGTTGGAGAGGCGCTGGAGGATGGGCCGGTGGGCCAGTTCCAGCGTCTCTGTTGCCGCTGCGATGGAGGGGCCGGCGAGGGCAGTCCACTTGGCGTCTATCGTCGACTGTCGGATGCCGCGGACGAACGAGGCGACGTGGAGGTATGGTTTGGTGGGGAGCTCGCTGTCGGATTCTGATGGGGAGCTCTCTCGAGAGGGACTGCGTCTGGACGGCGGCCTTTCCTGCTCTTCGTGCCGTGATTCCTCCGCTTCCTCTTCCTCTCCTTCGCCTTCTGGTGGTGGGGTGTTTTGTTTTCGGGCACGCCCGCGTTTTCTCTTCGTTGCAGGCTCATCTTGTGCATCCAGCGATTCACGCTGCCCTGAAGGTCTCCCTCGCCGCCTCTTGCCCGGTGGAGGAACAGCACGCGCGGTTGACTCGTCCACGGCCTCTTCCTGTGCTGTGGGATCTGGCTCATTTCGACCCTTCCTCCTGCCTCGGCGACCGCTTTCCTGTGCTTGTTCCTCAGGGACATCCTCCTCGATTGGTGCTGCCTTTGCCCCTCTTCTCCGTGGTGCCTTTTCCTTGGTCTGCTGTTTCGAGTTGGTGGCCCTCGGGGGGCTGGCAGGTGCCTCTTCTTGTTGTAATTGGGTTTTGGACGGCCGCCCACGCTTCCGGGGGCGGGCTACCTCCTCGTCGCCGGCGTTGGCATCGCCAGTGGCATCGGGGTTGGGAGCGTCTCTCTGAGACGCGTGAGACGCGCCGGTGGGTGGCCGACCGCGTTTGCGCTTGGTACCTGCTTGTCCGGGAGCCTGTGGTAACAATGAGTGCGTGTTACTGGATGTGATGATAAAACTCGATGCGAGCGGGAGATGACTCACCATATCTACTAAGTCTGCTCAAGTCCGGTTCATGAAGCAGAAAGTATATGAGGGTGGATTTGGCTGGTTCCGAATACCTACAACCAACGGCCGGGATCTTGGCGCTCCCGTCGGAGTGGTACAAGGGTCGGCGCTGTTCTGCAGCGACCGCGGAATTAGTATGGGGATCGTGCAATGGTTTGGCAGCTCGGGGTCCGCTAAGAATGCGCCCCAGCACAAAGGTTGTTTGCTGGTTGCTGGCCAACCGTTACTGGCGCCAATAGACCCCTCCCCTCCCCAAAAAGAGGGAAGATTTGTTGGCTAACAGCCACTACTTGGTGGGTTTGCGCAAATGCGGACAGCCGGGGCCCTGATGCAATTCCCTACACCAGCAGCCTAATAAACTTCCTATCTGTCCTTCCACATCCAGCAAGCTTCTCCTCTTCCTCCACCCAGATCTCTTGAGTCCATCTGTCGCTTATTCCATTCTTCACTTGACTGGTATCGGTATTGATCAGAGAAGCTTCTTAGATCTTGGCCGCATCGTCTTCTTGACATTATCCTAGATCCTTGCTCCTACGCTTAATCCCCCCCAAGATGCGATTCTCCCTCTCCACCGCAGTCGCGGCCCTGCCCGCCCTGGCCTCTGCGCAAGACTTCCAGCAGTACCAGGCTCAGTTCCAGGACCTGCTCGGACAGATCAGCTCGTATGTGCCCAATCCTGGAAAATACGACCATGCTTCTGCGCAAGAGGCCAAGAACGGCCCCTTGAAGCTGCACACCCTCACCCTTGAGAACTGGAACGACACCCTCTACGCCCCCGTGGCCCCAACTGCCACCGTCCCTGAGGAGTGGTGGGTGCTGGTCACCGGCCGAAACAAGACCTGCTTCGGTATGCTTCCTAACAGTTGCGCGCGGCGAGCGCACAATGCCTTTTTGATGGCGATGCTAACAGATGACCAGGCCACTGCAACAAGCTCGAGACTGCTTTCAACGAGTCTGCCCGACAATTGGCTCCTCTCCCTGATGCGCCTCACGTAGGCCTGGTCAACTGCGATGACCAGCCCATTCTCTGCAACAGCTGGTCCACCGGCCCAGGCAGCCTCTGGATCTTCGATATGCTCCCTCCTCCCGCAGAGATCAACATTTACAAGAAGAGGGTCAACTTGACCACCGCCTCCCCCGAGGACTTCCTTGCTCTCAAGGGCGACCACTCCAGCCTGCCCGTCCATGAGTCTTGGTTCCACCCCTACAACGGCCAGGGTGCCAAGCTGGGTCTCACTGTTCCCTTTGGCTACTTCACCTGGGCTTTCGCGCTCATCCCCAGCTGGCTCTTCATGCTCGTCATTTCCTTCTTCAGCCGAAGCATGATGTGAGTATTCTGCGATCTGATGACTGCCTAGTGGTTTCCGTTGCTAACACATCTGAATCAGGTCGCGCCGTATGGAAAACCACAATGGCCCTCCCCGCCAATAAGTGCGCTCAGCTTCAACGAACTCAGGTGACGGAAGTAGTGGTTGTGGCTCGGTAGATGTTGTAATAGGTTGTCATGGGGTGGGTAGAACTGCATTAAATATGTCGCTTCATGGGTGCTCGTAACTGGAAACTACGCGGTTTCCTGAAAGGAATGGTATCAAATTCACATCTTTTCCGTTCCACCAACAAGTCGCAGTGCGCGACTAGAAATTTCGTAGATATTGCCAAGGTCTCGGAGTGGCGCGCGCTCACGAGGGGCGATTGCAGACGTCCTGCAGCGCTGTTAAACTATCCAGGACTTCGTCTTTGATCTGCGCATTGGCGAATTTGCCGTAGCGGAGATCGCTCAGGCCGCCGATAATTTGCCTGGTCGACTCAAGCAGTTCCGCCTCCTCGCTCTTTAGTCGTTCAATCTCGGCGTCGAGGGCTTTGACGGCTCCGTCCACTTCGGGGATGATCGAGGTGAGGGAATGCTTCGCAGGTTTTGCTCCGGAGAGGCTGCCGAATAGCTGTTGATGAAACAAGATTTCTGTTAGCCACTCAAATCATAGGGTTCGTGATCGGGGCGCCCGAAGTGTCCTTGATTGTGTGGGGTGCTCACTGCTCGCTCCAGCTCTACTTCGCCATCTACTTCGCCTTTGGCAGCTTCTCTCTTTACCCTCAGCAGCTCCTTCTTCATTGCCTGGCCCAGGGTCGCCTCGGCCTCGATGTTGGATTGGACTTCTTCAAGTGCTTTGTCGCGTTGCGCCACGAGATCCTGCCACAATAACCGGATTTGGGGATTGTCGCGCTGGGCGGGGGGGAACCGCTCGGCGAAGTGCTCGAACGTCATGATGGCATTCAGGCTGGAGGGTCGCAGGAGGTAGTTCTCCAAGACCTCGGATTCCGTCGGAGCCATGGCCGGGGTACAGTGTTCGGTCGCAAAATCTGGTCAATGGACGATATGGGAAGGAGTTCAGAGCAGAGTACTAAGTTAAAAGCACACGCCGCGGTTGCGCAAGGTGTGTGTGCTGGCGCGTGCGTGATTCGCTGACTAGGTCTTGAAAGGAAGTGAGTGGGATGGATGGATCTCTGATCAAGGCGGGATGTATCTCAGGAACCTCGCAATCATCAAATGTCTACAGCAGTGCAACTTGGGGCTAGACTTGGTTTTTCAAGAACAATAGAATCATGAATTGAACAAATCGGCCACTTGTTCTTGAAGAGGATACCCGCCATGTACCTACAGGCAGTAAAAGCAGTAGAAGATACAGGCGGTTCATCGTGCTGAGCATTTGGCCACAGCCCTGCCGCATCCACTCAATTTACGGCTCGGTGGTGCAGCCACTTTAATTCAGTCGCGTCGCGTGCTCGCTCACCCTGGCCCAATATGTACTCGACTTGTACCTGCCTCCTGCTGCCAACTATCCGCAGATTCCTTGAAAAGTAAAGCCTTTTCTTTGCTTCACAACAAGAGTCCTGTTTCCCACCGCGGATTATCGCTTCCATCTCTTTTAAGCGCAGGGACGCGGCTTTTTTTCTTCTCTCTTCTTCTCTCGGTGTCAGAGTTCTCCCCTTTTCCCCGTCGTGCTGTCGCATTCATCAGAGCAGAAGATAGTCGAATACTCGCTCAGCACTCAGACTAGACACTCTCTCTCGGCTTATCAACCAGAAGCTTCATCTTTGTTTTTGTACTAGTACCGGAGGGCTAGAGGTGGTGCTCATCCAAGAGGCAGAAGCCAAGCAGAGAATACGTGGCCCTCACCCTGAAAACTAAGCAACCATGCCTCCCGCACGTCAGCAACAGCCTCTCTTTCACAAAGATGAGAAGGTTCTTTGCTTCCACATGGACATGCTCTACGAGGCCAAGGTTATGGATGTCCAGCCAGGCGAGAAGGCAGGCGAGGGCTTCCGCTACAAAGTCCACTACAAGGGCTGGAAGAACACCTGGGATGACTGGGTGCTCGCTGACCGGATCCGACCTCTGGATCAGGAGCACAAGGAGCTGGCAGCCCAGCTCCACGCACAGTTGAAGAATAACATTCAGAAAACCACCAAGCAGCCCAAGAAGAACGTACGAGGGGCAGCGGATTCCGCCCGAGGTAGTGAAGAGAGGGGGTCTGCCGCCGCCCAGGCAGGTCGAGGCGCCCGCAGAGGGAAGGATTGGGAACTTGAACAGGTAGGGACTTTTTTCTTTTTCTTTTTTGTTGATGTTTTCTTGATCTTCAAACCTGGCCCTCTTTATGCTTCGCGTGCGTCCAGCCGTATGTGCTTGACGACTCGACGAAAAGTTTCCCTTGCACCGGATTTACCACTATGAGAGTGAGCAGGGTGCTCTGGAACAGTAAAAGGCCCATTTGCAGTGTCTTTGCATCACTGTCAGCAATTTGACTTTCGACTGATTCAAAGTCACTTTTTGCTGCCTGGAAACGCACAGTTGGAGTGGCCGGTGACTCTTACGGGCGAGGTTATCAAGTAGTGGTCATGCTGCATAACCGAACCGACCCTACCTCTGCACTGTCGTACCATGCAGAGAGCCATCAAAACCATCTTCCTACCCGCTGCATCTTCCACCATCTTGTCGTCGTTTGGATCAGGCTGTCTCTCTACAGTTGTCATTTCTGCCCGAGCATTTAAACCTCAACCCGGAGTGATCCCCCTTAATCTTCGCACGCTTCCAGCGCGTCCCCCGGGCCTTACTTCAATCAACTTCTCTACCAGGGTTACAATGCCAGGTCTCCATCCAACGCAGCACGAATTTCCCCTTTCAAACACTCGAGGCGCCATAGACGATCCCGCTATTTCGTCGGTTCCTTGTTCGTTAGGGCAAAGGGAAAGAGCACAGTCGTTGAAGAGAAAAAAGGGCCCAAAGGATCACTTGACCATTCATCCCACCAAGGGGCACTCTTACATCTCTCGGACTGGTCAGCCCAGGTGGGATAATCGCTACGCACATCCTGCACCCAAATCACCAGAGAAAGCTCATCTTCCCCGTCTTACGCGGAAGGATCTCAACACGGACACTCGACAAACTAGAGAACAAAGTCGGAAGAAAGATGGGTACCCAGGAGGAGAGGACCAGCTTAAGCGCCAACTTCCACAGAGGCGGAGCTTAAAAATGAAGCCTCAGCCAACATCAGGCCCACGACTTTCTGGCTCGAATCAACCAGCATCTTGCAAGGATAATATACTAGAGGTAGCAGGCTGCTGGTTTTTTTCGATTTCCGCCTTTATTAACGCCAAGTGGTCGCCTGTTTTAACTCGTTGTTTGATTTACAAATCATGACTTACCACGAAGGGAGGCTAACATGCAAATAGGAGGACGCTTTCCACAACAAGCCCATGATCAACCTTCCTGTTCCAGATCATATCCAGGCGATGTTGGTTGACGACTGGGAGAACATCACCAAGAACAACCAACTTGTTCCTCTCCCTCATACCAAACCTGTCAGCAGAATTTTTGATGATTACCTCGACACTGAACGACCAAACCGACCAGAAGGTTCGGCAAGCCTCGATATTCTCGAAGAAGTCATAGCAGGCTTCAGCGAGTACTTCGAGAAGGGATTGAGTAGAATTCTGCTCTATCGGTGAGTTACTTCCCGCCTCTCGATTCATCTATCAGACATTGACACCCCTGTCAGCTTTGAGCGTCACCAGTACATGGAAGTTCGCAAGTTATGGGAAAACGCGGACGAGAATGCTCCGATCAGAAACGTTTGTGATGTGTATGGTGCAGAGCATCTTGCTCGCCTGATTGGTACGCTCTTCCCACCCTTGAAGATGGTTGCAACCCCTAACTTTCTTTGCCAGTCACCCTTCCTGAGCTCCTGGCCCAGACGAATATGGATCAACAGTCCGTATCACGCCTGAGGGAGGAGATCGGAAAGTTCACCAATTGGTTATCCAAGAACTGCGAGGATTACTTCGTCAGCGAGTATGAGAACCCAACACAAGAATACATCGATAAGGCCAGGAGCTTTTGATCTTACCAGGTCATGAATATGGAGTGCTCATATGACGGCACCCGTCAAGGGGACTCCTTTTACCTAGCAACTTGCTGAATCACCACTTTCTCTTAAACTCGGTTGGTACGTGGCGCTCTCTTTTGGCGGAAAAGGCATATTTATTGGTAATTTATTGAATGGATGAGGTTTCATTATTCGTCTCACTCAGAGTCCACGCTCTTTCCACCTGTAAGGCTAAACAAGGTCTTGATCTTCTCAAACAGCAATAGTTTGCTCGACCTAGACCCAGCCAGGTACTGCTCCTCCTAATAAAGCAACGCCGTCGAGTCAGCACATGACCGCTCATCGGCGAAATTTTATGCAGAATTGATTTGTTATGCCATTGTTCTAGAATCCAATCAATATACAGGGCACATATGTGCCAAGGTATCGTTACAGTAGTGATACAGCCCCCCCTCGCTTTCGTGTTCTTGCTTTTCTGTCGTGAATTATCCCCCGCTCCGGTGAGGCTTCTCCCCCACTCAGTTATTTTGTTTATTGACATGGGAGGATTCCCCCCATCATGTCTGTCTGCCAGCGCCCATGTCCACCCTCGTCCTCGCCTTCTCGACATAGAACCCGGGGTCAGGCGTCCGGGACGCCTTGAACTCCCTCTTCGTCAAGGCCTTGTCCACCTCCTCGACGCGCACGAGCTCCTTGACCTTGAAGATCATGCCGGCGAACTGGGGGCTGACGGGGTGGAAGACAGTCCGGCCGCGGCGGCGCAGGCCCAGGGCGTTGAGGACGCCACGGGTGCGCTCGGGCAGGCCGATGCTCGACCGGTGGAGGGTTATTCGGAAGAAGGACATTTTTTCGTGTCTGTGTTTTGTTGCGGTGGTGTAAGAAGCTTGTAGAGGGCGGTGGGACAAGGCTCTATGCTTGCGGAATCTTGGTTCGAAAATATGGGTTTTTTTCCAACAGGGACCCGGGGGACAACTGTTCTTAATCTGTGCACTGGATTGTCAGCTAGGTGTTAGGGCGATGGTCCGGGCTCGATTGCGTACCTGGCAGCTTCCAATTGACGGTCGTGCAGGCGGAACGACTCCTCGCCTTCCAAGTTTAGGTATTACTCTGCACTCTGCGATACTGATTCGCTTCAGAGGCGGATGGGGATTCACGATGTCACGTGCCCCGCAGTGGCTCGTGGGCTACCCTACACATTTTGGTGGGGTCCTATGGGAACCAACATGTCGATGCACTTTACGGGCAGTCAAACAATTATTAGGGTGTCATTTTAAATGGCTGAGGTATGCCTTTTGGTAGATTATATTAACCGTCGTTCGTCTCTATACTTTGTATTTGTCAAGTCGAAAGAGAGATCGGGGTCCACATGAGGTGGCAATTTGGTGGTCGCAAGACAGCTCAACTTAGCCAAGGAACATAAGTAATCCCGCCACCCACAGTCATGAAATGAGATTGTGGCTTGGATTATGATTGATTCCGGGGACAATAGCATTTGTAAATGAGCCTTAGAAAAGAAAAGAAGGAAAAAAAGGAAAAACCAGCGGCATACTACTCCGGTGCCTCATTTCTCATGTCATTCACTCACCATGTATTGCTGTTCGGTGTGAAATCGCATGAGGGTATTCAACCAACACTTCGCGTTTCCTTCAGTTAAGATACAACTACAACGCGTGGAATTTAAGGTATGAAAATTCGTCATTATATTTTCTCCGGCGTTTAAAGTGTTATATAGAAGCGCTGCCGGTAACTTCCGCACTACACATATCTAGGTTTCATACAGCCCCCGGATTTTCTCAATCGAAGGATCAACATCACAATAATACGACTGACGCCCAGATTCCTCGCTTACATTTGGACCTCAACTCTTCCCTCGGCGCCAGGCGCACCCTGAGACAAGTTGGGGAGGAGATAAGTGATATCATCCCAAGGATGACGGTACAGACCAGTGCGCAGACGCTTCTGGTCGAGGAAGTGAGCAATCAGACCGATGCTTCGGCCCAGAACGAAGAGACCGTTGAGAACACCCATCTTCAGGTAGTCCTCAGCCTCCTCAGCGGAGAAAGCACCGCAGTTGCGGAGGAGATCGACGAAGCAGACGGCAATACAGCCGTCGACGTTCAGGATCAGGTTATCCTTCTTGGAGGTTGTGACGGTCTCGACTGCCAGAGCGTAGTCCAGCAGCTTGTGGGTGGGGAATTTGGCCAGGACGTACTCCTTGACAAGCTCGACACGGAGATCGGGGTTGTTGCGGGACTTGACACGGTGGCCGATACCGGGAATGAGCTTGTTGGCCTTACGCATGCTGTCAACAAACTCTCTGGGGCTGAGGTTCTTGTCGAATGCACGGGTGAACTCGTCGGCAGCACCGTCAAGAGCACCACCGAATCGAGAACCAATGGTCAGCAGACCAGATACCAGGGCGCTGATCAGATCCTTGCCAGCACGGGTGGTGATGATGGTGTTCATGGCACCGGAAACGGCGGGACCATGGTCAGCAGTAAGCATAAGAACCATCTCCAAGAACTTGGAGGCGTAGTCAGGGAGTCTACGACGGAACCACAGCAGAGACATGACACCACCGATACCAATATCCTCCTTGAAAACGTCGGAGATGGGGATACCGGCGTAAAGCAGCTCTTGGCCACGGTCGTCTGAGATGGTGGAGATGAAAGCAGCAGGCTTTCGGATAAGACCCAGCTCCTGGGCCCAAGAGTAGTCGAGAGGGATCTTGGGAACGGGGGGTTCGGCCTGGGGCTTGATGGTGCCCTCCTTGACGAGCTTGTCGTACACCTGCTTCAGCACAGCAGGCATATCCTCGAAGGTCTCTGGGACGTAGAAACCAGCCTCCTTCATGGCCTTGTTCTTGTTGGTAGCGGTCTCAAGCTGCGAGTTGGCAAAAGAACCGGCGTGACCGAACTGGACCTCTGTCTTGAACATGCTGGCGCAGGTACCAATGGCCCAGGCCACGATGGGCTTGTTAATGACACCCTGCTTGACGGCCTCGATAACCTTGTATTCCTCAACACCACCAACTTCACCAAGCAGCACCAGAATCTTGCAGTCGGGGTCGGCTTGGTAGCGGAGCAGGTGGTCAATGAAGGTGGTGCCGGGATAACGGTCACCACCAATAGCGATACCCTCGTAGACACCATCGGTGTTGTTGGAAATGATGTTGTTCAACTCGTTGGACATACCTCCGGACTTGGAGACGTAACCGACGGAACCCTTGCGGTAGAGCTTAGAGGCGACGATGTTGTCCATCATACCTCCGGTGTTACCGATCTTGAAGCTACCAGGCTTGATACCACCAACGGTAGCGGGACCGATGATGGTGACGCCCTTCTTCTTGGCGACATGGGCAATCTCTCGTGCTCGCTGTGAAAACAATTAGACACCGCTTTTTTGGTCCCCCTTCGTCGCGGCTGTGCTCAGCCGTCTTCAACGTCTTCAGAAACAACTTACTCGCTCGGGGACACCCTCGGCAATAATGGCGATGGTCTTGATCTGGGGGTTCTCCATGAGCTCCATGGTAGAGCTGTAGACACTGCGGGAAGAGGCAAAGTTGACCACAACATCAACGTCAGGGTGCTTGCTCATAGCCTTGTCGACTTGCTGGTAGACAGGCAATAAGGTCTCGCTGGTGCCCCAGTACATCTTGCTGACGAATTGACCGCCAAAGGTGTAGATGATACCGGCCACCGAGGGAGTCTTGCGCTTGCAGATGAAGTCAAAGTCGAGCATGCCCTGCACAGCACGGGGCTGCAGACCGTAGACGAAGCATCGGGTCTTCTCATTGAAGAGAGCATGGGAGGGCAGAGGGCTCAGAGGCCGACTGGGAGCAGCGAAACGCTGGATCTTGTCGTTGGCCGACAAATTGGCGGAGGATGCCATTTTGTGTGATTCGTAGTCGATCGCTTCACGTGTGTCGGAGAAAATTAACAAGCTGCGTCGACGATGGCAATCGAGGTCAGCGAGGACAATGGATTAGAGAGACACTGCGAGCGCAGCCCACGTCAGAGAAAGTGATGGAAAGAAGTTTGAAGCGGAAACTAGAACGGAGACCAAGTATTCGAGATACGGTCTTTGGAGAGGGAGAGAAAGTAAGGGCTGCGGGGAGGGGCGAGGTAATACTCAGGAGATCGGAGGGCAAAACGACTGGATGGGGAGGGCCTGCTCATAGCCTGGATCATAGTTCGAGGTACAGGCACACGAGGCTGTTTGCTTGCTGAGCTGCTGCTGAGCCAGCCAAAAATTTAGCGGGGCAGGGTATCCAGCAGTCTGAGGTACCGATACCGCCTGCACTTGCAGGCACATGTAGCTAGCCCGGAACGCGGACCCCGCTTTCGACGGGGTCCTGGTCTCCTCTATTGCGGTACCAAGATAATTCCCAGGGACACAACGCAGACAGCCCCGATGTACTCACCTGGCTGTTTTGGACTCTCGATTGGTCTTCAGTGCACACGGCCAATTGGGCACTTGGAAAACAATAATTCTGCGCAGGGGCGGGATGCTTGGAAATCCAAGTGTGAGGAGGGGTTGACAGGCCAGTACCTCGATGTCAAGGGCGCGGTCTGCTAGCGAAGTTGGGGCAGCCCCTGATTTTTTTTTTTTGGGGACCTGATTTTCGCATTGGTCGAGTTCTGGTTGATCTGTTGAATCTAACACAAGGTACATTCTGTCCCCGTGTCAAGTACCGCATTCAGGTTGTGGCGGGGTGATGAGGTGAGGTGGATAGCAGCTATAGCACCTATCGCCAGCCCTTGTCACCCAGCTCTGCCACTAAAACACGGACCAAAGCCGGCACATGCCTACATAGGTACACTCAAACCTGCGTGCAGCTCCCTTGCCGCTGGATCTGACCGCAAAATCGGCCCAGGGTGCGTAGCGCAAATCGGTGCAGGGAAGGCGCAAACGAAAACGTTGAACTGGCCAGCAGAAACCCCAGTCTCACTCTGTGCCGTGGCGTGGCCAGACAGGATTGTGTTTTTGTTGGCAAGGTCGGTGTGTCTCGCGAGCATCGGTATCAATTGACCGGAGGCTGACGACGACCCGTTGCGAGGTACCTTTGGTGGGATACCTCAAGAGTGATACCTGCACGAGTTGACAAAACTCTGATACAGTAAGATTGATCCCCAAGGTCGTATTGCGTGCCAACCCTCCGACCCGCCGTTGAAGCTGAGTGGCTGCTACGACTGCTGTGCAGCCTGGGTCCAATAGCTGCAGAGTGAAATGCGAGGAAATCATAGGAAAGCCATGCATGTGGCAAAAGCAATTGACTTTATGCTTTGTTTCCTTTTCTCGCACCTTCCCGGATACGAGCCGGCCAGCAGCTGTGTCCGCCATCGATAATCGATCTGGCTCGGCCTCTATCCATCTTGATAATGCAACCTCAAATCTTGGGGCAGCTGCGAGGGATGCAAGGAATTCCGTAGAATGCCGTCAGCCAGTGTGACACCCTTCATGGCTGCTCTTGTGCACCCGTAGCCATCGTATCTCTAAGACAGAGCACAGGATGCAGAAATCCGTGTTGGGCGAGCTGTCGCAGAGCTGGTTGCGTGTGGACCCACTTGAACACGCTCAACAGCTGAGCTCATGTACCGGTACATGCGGAAGAAGCTTGCACTTCCCCCCCAAAGGTTTTTGGAGCTAATTTTTTCGCTTTGGCTGGACCCTCACCGCCCGGGTGGAATCCGAAGACAGGTAGGTACCTGTGCGCTAGCCCCTCACTGCACTGGCAGTGGGTGGGCGGTCGATCCCCTGATGTCGCTCCCACCTGGGTCGGAGGGGAGCTCTGGGCTCCTGGCCAACCCGGTTTTGTGGGAGGGTGATTTTCTGCCGCCTCCGC